AGCCACGAAGACCTTTTCTTCTTCCCTTTTTTCTCCTCTTGAGTCACCATATCTGCTTGCTGCTTTGTCTCACAATAGCTGGAGATTTTCCTGAAGCTGAAAACCTTGCTTATAAACGTGTAAGCCCTGCTTTTCCTGCTCCTATATCCGATATCCTGATCATTGCTCATCCTCATAGAAGCTGAAAGATTCTCATAGCGGGCAACTCGTGTACATTCTGATGATATAGATTCTGATGTCAGCAGTGAACTGTTCGATCTCCCAAACTTTATTGATGACCCTCTTTCCACCCTGAAGCTTCTGCAAACAAGCTCCATTGTCTTGCTTGCATCATTCTTGATAGAAAAAATGTATAATCATCCTTGTTCCTCTCAATTACTACCAGTGAGGTCGTTTTCTTTGAGAAGTAACAGATTCTTTTGCTGGAAGGTGACGCTAGGCCATTACCGTGGCTTGCTATCCTGTGGAGGATGGTTTGGAGATTTTTCGTGGACCTAATCAATGCTTGGTCTGTGGAGTACTTATTATTTAATGCTTATCTATTTTAGCCTGAAACTTGACTTGCTAGCTGGTAATTGGCTTGACGCCAGCACGATTTTGGTTTGCAAGGAAAGTCAATTGTGCAGGCATGTGCCCACTTGCTCATGGCTTGGATCCAACAATCCCTAGTGCAAGAAAAAGACTTCCAGCTACCGATGGAATCGCTCGCTATTTATGAATTGGAGACAGATGGGCCAAGTCTTAATATTCATGTAGTGTTCTTCTCAAAAAAGAAAAGTAAAAGAAAAAATCAGTATGTCAGGCTAGCAGGCAGCCTCAAAAGTCAACGGAATAGCAATTCTTTCCTTAGAGTATATTTGTTTCTCCAAAAGTCTTTTCGAAAAATTATTTTTAATTTTTTTTTGTATTTATTTGGCATTAAAAAAATTAATCAATAAAAAATATTTTTCTATTAATAAAAAATATTTTTTAGTCAACAAAAAATATTTTCTAGTCAATAAAAAATACTTTTTAGTCAAAGAAAAATTTAGCTTGGTTTTCAGGAAAGTGTTTTTCTTTTTGGCTGTGTTTGTTTTTCGAAAAGTGATTTCCGGAAAATCACTTTCCAAACTTTCTTGTATTTGTTTGCTGTTAGAAAAATTGGTCAACGGAAAACACTTTCCAGTCAAAGAAAAAATTGGCTTGATTTTCAGGAAAGTGTTTTCCTAAAAATTTGGATGGAAAACACTTTCCAAAAATTGTGAAAAATTTAGAAATATCATTTTTTGCTGATTATATCAAATTTGATCCTCAAACTTTTGATTCCTATATATATTTTGTTTTGTTTTGAATATTTATTTTTTAATTTCATTTCTTAAAATTTAATTTTTTATATTAATTTTGATCCTCATTTTTATAATTGTTATTTGCTTTTCTCCTATTATTTTTTTATTGAACTTTTTTATCTATCAAATTTGTTCCTCATTTTTTCTATTGTTACTTATTTTATTTGAAATACTTTATGAAATGTTAATTATTATTATTTTAATTTCTTCATCTTTTTTTTAGATTTAATCTTTATTATTTTGATTATTATTTATTTTATTTGAGATAATTTATGAAATTATATTTTTTTTAATTTTATTCTGATTCAACTTTTTAATTTGTAAGATTTGTTCCTCATTATTTTAATAAACTTGAGAAAAATAAAATATTAATAAATTATTTTTCAGTTTATTTTTTAAAACATAACTATACACTAGAAAGTGTTTTCCAGTTCATTATTTATAACACTACTAAATATTGAAAAATAATTCATTTTTTAAAAATTTATTTTTCTCATAATTCACTTAAAAAAGAAAAACTTTTCTACAAACAAACGAAACCCTAATCTCTCTTGAGCCTCATATGGACCCTACTAGGTTTTATCTGGTTTCAAATAACCCAGGAAAAGGAAGCAGGCTAATAGCCATCCTTGACTTTGAACCTTTTCACTAAGCCCACCTCGAAGAGTTTCTGCATAAACCCATGTTAGTTTGGGATTACAGCCCAAATAGATATTGGTTAAAATTCAATTGTTTTTTTATTTAAAATTAATTTTTTTTATATTTTTATATCATTTTAATACTTTGATATAAAATATAAATTTTAAAAATTAAAAAAATATTATTTAAATATATTTATAAACGAAAAACTCACTCTCTCGTGTTGCTGGCCTGAGAATTAATGACTTGAACAGTAAAACCAAAAACAATAACAACAATAAAGAAAGGAAACTTGGTCACGTGAAGCAACAACACCTGATCTGTGAATCGAGAGGCAATATAAAAATAAAAAGAAAGAATTAGTACAAAAAACAAACAGGATCATCGCCTTAGCGATGGCGTTGCACTCTCCAAAATACATCTGTAGGGTTTGACAAAACGACGTTTCCGGTCCCTTTCTTCCTTTCTTCTGCGCCAAGAGATTTAGTCAAGGATTCAGCCTCATTGTTGTTTGATTCAAAGCTGTAAGCAAACCCTCCTTATTCAACATAGGAGGGCAACAAGAAATGATAAAAAAGCATAGGGCCAGACATTATTTCAAACAAAAATTCAACGTGACCAAGCTGCGATGGTGCTCTCTTAAATTCTATTGGTCAGATTTGCTTAACAAGAATCGAAAAAAGTCTTCACCAAGCTTTAGTAATGTCTCTTTGATTCTCTCAATCTCTGCCATTATCTTGAAGATTTACTGTAAACTTTCGGGTAGCGTTTTGTTAGTTTTTTTAAATAAAAAAAACAAAGGTAGCAGAGATAAAATTAACATGTCTTTATATGTTTTTTATTATAAGAGTACATAAATTCATTTTATTTTAAAAATAAATTTATTTTATATCATTTCTGTCACTCTTTC